TACTTTATCTGGAGCCTGCATCTTTACCTCCTGATCTGCGCCACCACACATGGTCCATCAACTCTTACACCTGCAACGTGACACTTGTATGCTCCACAGAAACACAACTCAGCACAAAAATGTTGGTGTTGGACATTTTGCTAAGTTTTATGGCTTATTGTCAGACTTGGAAGCAGAAAATGACTGCAGGCAGTGATGCAGAGGGCAAAACAACTCCAGAGCAACCAGTGACTCTGCCCCCTAGCCAATCAGCGGCCAGAATCATGATGCTGGCCCGACTCAGACTTGCCAGGTACCATAATGGAGCAGGAACTAAAAATTGGGGATAAAGTAGAGGGAAAATACCAAACCGTGCCCTTGGAAACTGTGGTCGAGCCGAGCTGTATCGGTAGTGCTCCTGGAAAACCACCTTTAGTATAAAACAAGAAGGATGCCGTGGCTTCTTAGGAGTATGAGAAATAACTCATGGGCCACTACTTTTACTGGCTAACGTTTATTCCTACAAAATTTCTTTTTATCCAGCCGTAAATTTATTTTGTCTCCAATAGCAGCTGAATCTCATCCTCCCAAAGAGTAGGGATTGTGAAAACACGTCAGACACAACCGATGTATTTTATTTTCAACATTCCGTCAGAGATCATCTCTGCAGTAACTGCAAGCAGAAGAGCTTCATCCATGCATCTTAATTGATCTGAGCACAGTGTGCGGTGCTCCAGACTCTGTATTACAAATGCAAGGTCATTTCTTATTATTGTGATGTTTGTGCTGAACAGAATGACATTTTGTCATTGACAGCAGGTTGACGTGATTTTTACTCATTACAAAATAGCATGAGGTGATCAGTAAACAGTGTAAGGTAAATTGGATGCTCCACAAAAATACAACTCAGCACAAAAATGTTGGTGTTGTTGGACATTTTGCTCCTTTTTATGGCTTATTGTCAGACTCTGAAATAGAAAATGACTGCAGGCAGTGATGTAGCAGGCAAAAAACTCTGGAGCAACCAGCGACTCCGCCCCCTTGCCAATCAGCGGCCAGAGTCACGTTGCCGGCCCGACTCAACCTTGACAGGTACTCCAACGAAGCAAGGACTAAAAATAGGGGAGAAAGTAGAGGGAAAATACCGACCCGTGCCCTTAGGAAACAGTGATCGGGCCGAGCTGCATCGGTCCGAGTTTCTCTGAGCAGTGCTCCTGGAAAGTAGTTTTATAAAGATCCTCAGATGAGAAAAGCAAGCCTTGGGTGAAGATTTTTGTTTTAGTTATTTGTTAGCTGTCTAGTTACTTGAGTACAGCATTTACTACACAGAGCAAATTTCTAATTCACATGGTGTGCCAAATAAACTAAAATATCTCAAACACTTCACCTCAGATCTGTCATATTTGGACTTTCTGAGAGAGATGAGAAGTAGCTGAAGAGTGTGATGCATACAATGTGCATGGTATGTAAACATGCCTTTAAAAGACTAAAAACTGATACCGCTAATACATTTTAATGCCAGCATTGGTCGGTTTTAATGGTATATTGAACATCCTTACTAATGAAAATCTCTAATCTGATATCAATCTCAACTTCAGACAAGCAGAAATGCAAAGAGACACATATTTTACATGACAATAGTGTCTCATTTGTATTTATGTAAGGGCTTTTTTCCAGTTGATAGTCTATTCCTTTTCACATCTCAGGGTTGTGTATCAACAAAAGAAACTACATGCCTATTAGCCTCTGACTCCTTTGTGCTGCCTATCGTGCCATTTGATGCTCAGTTTGTACAGGAGAGGTATTCCTCCGTGGTGCCTCGAGGCTCACTCGGAGCCTTTGAAATTATGTTTCAAACATTTTGTTTAGGGTTCTGAAGGGACTCGTCTCTTCCATTCATAACTCACGTAGTACCTCAGCGGGGACTTCTTTTACAAAGTAAAAAGCAGCAGTGACATTTAGTGTTTCTCATTTTTTCTTAAAAGCCTCAATGATTTCACAGTGACTCCTCTGTTTCTGACACTGAGGCTTGAGAGTGTCTCTGAGGAAAACGGGGTGTATGGCTAGAGCATCAGAACAGGTTCCACTTTCTGGAGAGGATCTGAGTTTAACCACGATGGTCATTTAACCAGAACCTAAATACACTGTCCCTTTTACAATGACCATTTTAATAACTGCATATTGGATTTTTGGTGAAAATGTTGGTACATAAGCTACCTTTAGGAGAAATGCTTAATTCAAGGCCTTGCAACAGTTATAAAAAATGTTTTTGGGTGTTTCAGCAATTCCTTGTACTTGTATTCCTGGATTATCCATTTTGGTGTAGTTTACTCGTGGCAAAAGTAAACTCTGTTACAACAACCATTTCTTGTCGAGTGGATCCTCTTAATAGTCTTCTGTGTTTTCTCCTTGAGGTAATACAAACTGATGATAAAAAAAGGGCTTCCTCCTCAAAACTCTGTCATTCCCTTGATGAGCAGTTCATCCTTTGCATGAAGCTGAAATGTTTCTCTGGACTTTATGTGCTTTTAAAGTCTGCTGGGTGTTTTGATCTCGGAATGCACACAACCTTTGGTCCACATAGAAAAGGTGATATGTGAGAAACAAAGGAGCATACAATAAGATGTGTCAGAGTAAATGTACTGATGGTTTTGACTAATTAAACACAACTGGAGTAAAACAGCTCATTAGCAGCCATCAGCTGTGTTCTAAATGTAATGATAACCATGGTCTGAATACACCTGCATAATTAGATTATTAATCTGACTGACACCTAATATTTTACTGACTGTTGCATGTACAATCATAAAGAAAATCACCATAAAGCTTCCTGGTGATCCACTAATCAGTGTTATCCCAACAAAACACCATTTACTGTAAAAAATGTCAAATTCTAACACAAATGTATTAGTTAAAATAATCCTATATTGAGAGTAGTCCCACCTTTTTTTTCTTTATGACCCTTGGAGTCATAAAGGTAATTTCCTTTGCTGCTTGTAACTTCCTATCAGAGCAGTGGGTGTTCCTCGGGGTCACCCAGGATGATTTGTGTTCAGGGTTAATTCAGGACACATGTAGATGTCTGGTGTAAAGAGTGGCTAATATTTCTCCATGAGGAGCTCTAGAAAGTAAACTTTTTCATGGTCTATGAAAAAACAAATAAAAAAAGGTATCATATTTATATTTGGAAGAAAATGAGGAATAATGGAGATTCATGATGACTTAATATCCAGTCATTCTACCATTGTTCATACAAACTGAAACTTAAAGGTTGAATGTTTATGTTTATGTATTAAGCAGACGCTTTTGTCCAAAGCGACTTACAAGTGAAAATCGGCATATTGCCCTTGAGGTTAACAACAATAACAACAACATTGACATCAGTCATGGAGAGGAGGGAACAAGGAGTGGAAAGTAGAGGGGGGGGGGGGGGGCAGGTGCAGGGAGGGTGCTAGTTAAGAAGATGCTCTCTGAAGAGCAGGGTCTTCAGGAGTTTCTTGAAGATTTAAAGGGAAGCCCCTGTTCTGGTAGTGCTTGGTAGGTCATTCCACATTTGTGGAACGATGCATGAGAAGAGTCTGGATTGTCCTGAGCGTGGTGTAGGCACTGCTAGCCGACGATCCTGTGATGACTGGAGCAGCCGGGCCGAAACGTAAGCCTTTGCAAGAGCAAATGAATAAAAAACGATATATTTTTAAATAATACCTCCATGGGCGTTTACAGTTGTGCAGAATGAAGATACAACATTTCCCTTTAAAGTTATATTTTAATTTAAAAATAATATTTATGGGATGAAGACCAAATATTTATTTTAACAGGCACAGCACTGACTTTATGCTTATATCTACCAGCCAATAGAGGGCGCCATTGCAGTTTGCTAAACCCTCCCGCTTGGCACAGCGAGGCTGGCACTGGTAAAAAATGGTGGACATTGCAAGTCAAGCAGCTGCTTCTGAGCCCAGAAGATGTCGTTATCCTTTTCAGAAGAGGAGTGGCCATAAAAGATCTAAAACCAGAGTGAGTTTAGGTGAAGCCGACAACAGATGGACCCAAATAAAACATTTCGCATATCCAGACGGCTGGAAACCTTGTTTTGTTGTTGCAGCAACAACCTCCACACACTAGATGTCGCTTTGGTGTTCGTGTTCCATATCCCACCTTTAATGTAACACATTTTGACACTACGTATGGAAATAACATAACTATAATAATTGTTTATTTAGTTGACATCAGCCCCACGGTTACTCTTAAAGATAGAATAAAAAAATACTAAATGAAAAAGCATTTTCATCTGTGTTGCAGCTGTCAAAATTACAATTTGATTTAGCAAGGCCATTGAATACTTATTTATCATCAATATAAAATAAAATATTCAGGATTTCAAAGCAGAAAATAGGAATTGTGTATGTTTCTTTAACAAAGGTCATAATTTTCTGCTAGAAAATTTAGGTCAGACTGCATATTTTCACTCTCAAGCGTCTTATGATATCACATCCAACATTAAACTCCCCTTTTGCTGACTCTGGAATGTAATTCATGAGCATAAATATTTTTCTGGAACACATATTTGCCTGAATTCATAATATTTTAGCAGGATAAAGTATCTAGGGGGTGGGCAAACCTGATTTTAAACCGACCTCGGTGGTAGCAGCCCAACTGCTGTGTCCGCTCCCTGTGATGCTGCCACACCACATATTTGTAAGAAAATGATTTTGAGACTCACTACCAAAGAGAATGTTCAGAATGAAGTAAGTTGGAGAACAAGAGCGAATGAGGGTGGAGGAACAGAGGAGCGGTGAGCAAGAGTTAGAGCTGCCAGTCCCATCTGTCATATCTTTGTAGATCGTAGCCTGAGGTGAGGAGCTGCAGCTGAATAATGATCACCTATTATTCCATGAGCCCTTTAAAGAGACAGCTTTTGTTGGAGCAGCTCTCTGTGAAAACCTACCAGTTTCTGCTGGAGGACTGGTGGTGTCTGGGCAAACTATGGTGCATGCTGAATTTTGTGTTTCTGTGCACAGTTAAACTACGCAGAGTCCAGGCTGACCCAACTGGAGGGGTGTCACTGTGAGAGGACCTGCAGCGCCAATGGGCTCTTATACCGAGACAAAGAGTTGTGGGTGGAGCATGAAAACTGCAGGAACTGTGCATGCAAGGTGAGCATAAGCAATCAACTTCACCTTGTGTTTTAGTTGAGCCGAAAATTCAATTCAATTCAATTTTATTTATACAGCGCCAAATCACGACAACAGTCGTCTTAAGGCACTTCACATAATAAACATTCCAATACAGGTCAGTTCATTAAGCCAATCAGAAATAATGTTTCCTATATAAGAAACCCAGCAAATTGCATCAAGTCACTGACTAGTGTCAGTGACTATACAGCAATCCTCATACTAAGCAAGCATTTAGCGACAGTGGAGAGGAAAACTCCCTTTTAACAGGAAGAAACCTCCAGAGGATTCTGGCTCAGTATAAGCAGCCATCCGCCACGACTCACTGGGGATCGAGAAGACAGCACACACACACACACACGCACACACACACACACGCCCCATATATACCAAGTAATGTGTCTATGGTTACATTGTGATTTCTTAGTAAATATTCTATTCTTTGGTGAGAGATCAGCTTGATTGTATTTATCCTAGTGAATCAATAATTAAACAGGTAAACTATTAGTAGCACATTCAATGTCAATGAAAGTAAAATGTTATCAGGAGAGGGAGAATGTTTAAGTGGTTAGCAGCAATGTTCAAGACGATGGCCTCCTTCATGAGCACATGACCACAGCTCAGCAGAACATCATTGTAGCTTCTTCTGGGGAGAAAAACACTTAGAGAAAGAATAAAGTTAACAGCTGAAATTGCAGGAAATAATACAGTTAAAGAGCAAATTGTAGAAGAAAGTAGTAGAGTGTGAAAAGTGGTCAGTGTGTCCTCCAGTAGTCTAAGCCTATAGCAGCATAACTATAGATAACTCTGCAAATTGCTGCAATCAAATCATGTCTGAAAACGATGGTAACAAGCTCTAGCAAAAGTGTTGTGCTAAGTTAATATATACAATATACATTCACTGGCCACTTTATTGGATAAACCTTCCTAGAACTGGGTTGGACTTCCTTTTGCCTTCAGATCTGCCTTAATCCTTGGTGGCATAGACTGACCAAGGTACTGGAAACATTCTGTGAGAGATACAGATATTGTGGGGGTCTGACTAAGTAAAAATATACAAGTGGTTAAACTTTATTTGTTTATTGGTTCATAGGTACCCCACACTTCTTCTTTTTTATGTTTAGTTCATGTGTGAACTGAGTCTCACTGCAGCTCCAGGGACGGAGTTTTGAACGGAGCAGTTTGTGTACGTCTCAGTGATATGACTACAAAATAAGAGCATCTGAAACAGCAAATAACTCCAGTGGTCGTCCCTGCCCGCCGAGCTGCAACAATTCCTCTGAGAGTTTGGTTCATATTGGCATGATAGCATCATGCAATTGCTGCAAACTTGTTGGCTGCACATCCATGATGCAAATCTCCCATGCCTCCATGTCCCAAAGGTGCTCTATTGAGATCTGGTGACTTTAGAGGCCATTTGAGTACAGTGAACTCATTGTCATGTTCAAGAAACCAGTCTGAGATGATTTGAGCGCATTATTTTGCTGGAAGTAGCCATCAGAACATGGGTACACTGTGGTTGCAAAGGGATGGACATGGTCAGCAACAATACTCAGGTGTGGTGTGTACATACTTTATAATCATATGCATCAGTAATCAGATTGTGAGCAGGTCAAGTGTGCCAAGAAAATGTCCCCCACACAATTACACCACCACCTGCTGAACAGTTGAAAGGCAGGATGGATCCACGTGTTCATGTTATTGATGCCAATTTCTGACCCTACCATCTGAATGGCACAGAAGAAATCGAGACTCATCAGACCAGGCAACATTTTTCCGATCTTCTATTGTTCAATTTTGGTGAGCCTGTGTGAACTGTAGTTTCAGTTTCCTGTTCTTAGCTGACAGGAGTGACACCTTGTGTGGTCTTCTGCTGCTGTACCCCATCTGCCTCAAGGTTTGATGTGTTCAGAGAAGCTGTTCTGCATACCTTGGGTGTAACGAGTGGTTATTTGAGTTACTGTTGCCTTTCTATCAGCTCAAACCAGTCTGGCCATTCACATCTGACCTCTGGCATCAACAAGGCGTTTTTGCCCACAGAACCACCGCTCACTGGATGTTTAGTTATATGACAATATATACTATTTCTGATCAATATAGATTATTAGAATAATTTATATTTGAGGATCTGCCTCAATGTCATCTTTCTCCATCTTCATCATCATCACTGATGGCAAGATTGGTTGGTACAATAACTGTCCATCTCCATTTTCCAGAGAAATCTTAGTTTAAAACAGCAAAAATATTTTCACTATCATGATTGTTATTATTACTGTTTGTCACAATCTGCTCCTACCTCCCTCTTACTCTTACTCTCTCCTGTCCCTGATTAGTTTTTATTGGTCTCACCTGCCCCTTGTTAACCTGCTCATGTGTTCCTGATTGTTTCCCTGTGTATTTATACCTCCCGTCTTGTATGTGTCAGGGTCGGATCATTGTTTGTTGTTGTTTTGTGTCTTGTTGTTTCCTGCCGTATCCTGCCATTAAATCCATTTTTATGTTATCCATGCCTGCATTCCTGCCTCCTGGTCAGCTCCACCACACATGGTCCGCCGTCACCCACACCACATCATGACACTGTTATCATGATTGTTAAGATTATGTCTAAATAACAACAGATTTTACCTAAAATATTTATAATTTAATTTCCTTGTTCATGGCGTATGTTCATATTTGGCAGGTTTAATTTTCGTGCTAAGATTTCACCAACTTTATTGAGTTTAACATCTGAAACACATGCATCCTTATTCAGCACAACTAGTCAAACTTGTGATGTGAGAGTTTCATAAACCTAGCTTTGTTAGTTTTAGAGATCTAACCATAAACACAAGAAGAGACTGAACACTTTTCTGGCTCTACAGACACACCATTATTTGGCACATTATGGCCTTGCCCTGATTGGAGGAATGGTACCATGGTGCAGTCCATGACTGTCTTCATCTCTGATGATTGTTTGGGTGAAATCCCGTAATTCAACGAGTTCGTGAAAAGGCACACCAACATCATTTATGATGTGAGTGGAAGTGTCTAAATATAGACATTGGCCCTATAAAGGGTTAGTAGCAGTTGGACAGGTGTACCCAATAAAGTGGCCAATGTGTTTATATTTTTACTCATTTTATATTTAGATGTCACACTGACAGGAGAAAAGGTAGAAAAAATCGAAGAGGTGATTCGACTTTAAAGACCTTGGCTAGGTGTGAAAAAAATATATATTACTGGGTGGGTCACCAAGGTATCCCTGCAACATCTCACTCAATGTTGGCTTGTTTTTGCCTTTTTTTTATATAGTGAAGCATAGCCCCATAGCCAGTTCAAACTGGGTACATTATAGCAGCAAATTATAATATTTATGACAAAATAACCTCTGGTGCTGTTTCAGTGTCACACACTGAGAACACAATGCCATGGCAGCATCTTCTTCCAGCTCTTGGAGGGTACAGATGTCACGGTGTAGGAGGTGGAGATGATGGACCATGTGTGGTTGAGCTGAGCAGGAGGTAAAAATGCAGGCTTCAGAAAAGTAAAAATGGTTTAATGGCAGGATGGAATGAACAGGAACACCAGCAAACAGCAACAATGAACTGACAAAGGACAGGGGCAAAACAGGTGGTTTAAATACAGAGGGCTAATTAGGGAAACATGGGCAGGTAAACGAGGGACAGGTGAGAACAATAAGGGCAATCACGGCAGGAGAGGAACACAGTCAGGTTGGGCAGGGGCAGATCGTGACAGTACCCCCCCCCCCCCCCCCCCCCCCTTAAGGGCGGATACCAGACGCCCACAAGGCTATACAACAGGAGACGGGGACTTGAAGACTGGACATGACAGGAACGTGACTGGAACAGGGACTTGACATGGGACTGGAACAGGGACTTGACATGGGACTGGAACAGGGACTTGACATGGGACTGGAACAGGGACTTGACATGGGACTGGAACAGGGACTTGACATGGGACTGGAACAGGGACTTGACATGGGACTGGAACAGGGACTTGACATGGGACTGGAACATGGACTTGACTAGACTGGAACATGGACTTGACTGGACTGGAACATGGACTGGACTGGACCATGGACTGGACTGGAACAGGCGTGGAACCCAGGTAGAGAACTGCAGGAGCAGGCGTGAGACCCAGGTAGAGAACTGCAGGAGCAGGCGTGAGACCCAGGTAGAGAACTGCAGGAGCAGGCGTGAGACCCAGGCAGAGAACTGCAGGAGCAGGCGTGGGACCCGGCAGGGGCTGCAGCAGTAGGCGTGGGACCCAGGAAGAGAACTGCAGGAGCAGGCGTGGGACCCAGCAGAGGCTGCAGCAGCACGAGACCTGCAGGCATAAGCCCCACAGCGTGGACCAGGAAGTGGACGAACGGCAGGAGCGATGCGAGGGAACCCAGCTCGGCGGCAGGTGCTCGACAACCGGTCAGAGCAGGTACACGGCACGATTAGCTGGGTCTCAGGCAGAGGCTTGGGTGCAGGGAAGCAGGAGAAGAGCGGGGAGACCAACCCTACCACCCCGGAGAATGATGGCGTGCGTAGGGGGTGTAACTCCGTCAGAGCTCCAGGATCCGCGGCTTCCATGACACAAACGGGACGGGGGCAGAAAGCAGGTGAGGAGAAGGGCTCGACCACCGCAGGAAATGAACTGGACGCGCCGAAACCCACCCAGAGGCTTGACCACCCCGGAGAACAGGTAGGATGCGCCAACACCCTGGGCCAGAATCTCCTTCTGCTAAAGGACAAAAAAGAAAAAATAATTCCTCCAGGAAGATTTAGAAGTGCTCACCACAGGTCCCGGTTTGGTCAGTTCATTCTGTAATGGTGTAGGAGGTGGAGACGGCGGACCATGTGTGGATGAGCTGAACGGAGGAAAAATGCAGGCTTCGGTAAAAGTAAAAATGGTTTAATGGCAGGATGGGATGAACAGGACACCAACAAACAGCAACAATGAACTGGCAAAGGACAGGGGCAAAACAGGTGGTTTAAATACAGAGGGCTAATTAGGGAAACATGGGCAGGTAAACGAGGGACAGGTGAGAACAATAAGGGCAATCACGGCAGGAGAGGAACACAGTCAGGTTGGGCAGGGGCAGATCGTGACAACAGATGCTTTTTTCTCCTCTCCCTCCCTGCTCCTCCCAAGGCTCTCTGTCCTGTCTGCCTGTGCACTGCACTTTCAGCATTTTTTCTTGTAACTGGAAATTATTAAACATGGATCTGGTCAGTTGCTCTCAATGCGATTGACAACATTTTTTCAACAATGAGAACGGGAGAAGGGGCTCCCGGATGCCCCTCTGGGACAGAGCCAGCTGGGTAAATCATGGACTCCTGGAAACAGTGGAACCTGATCTGCCTTTCTCAACTGTCTGTAGAGGATTCTGAAGATATCTGGATATTCGTTGTTTGGGTGTCGGGATTCCTGCTGTTTGGCCTGAGCGGTTACCTGGCATACCAGAAAATTAACGAGCTTTTGAGGAATATTGACTTAATCCCGGCGCTCAGGGATGGAATGCATCACGCTGTGAAATCACAAACTCATATAATTGTCGAGATGAGTCGTAAGCTTGGAACTTTGGCTGAGATTCAGGGTCTGGTACAGAAGGTGGATTCGATCAAGGAGAGAGTTGACGGATCAGCACGGATTGGAATAGTTTGATAATGCCATTATTGGACCTGGAGGGGTTGAAGACCAACAGAACTCTAAGGCAGAGAGAAAATTATCTCTGTCTGTACCCAAAACAATTCTTATCTGAATCTGGTGCCCTTGAAGCCTGTGAGGCTGAAGTGAAAACTCCCCCTTCAGAAGAAATGTGGAATGCTGCCGTTGCTATGGAAACCCTTTCTCCCTATCCCAGCCTGGGCGGGACTGTGATCGGTGAAGGCTGTGGAACCGTATCTAGGAGTCAATGTGCTCTCTAACCAATTATCTCCCTCCCCTGTCCCAACGGAGGTGATGAGCGCTGCTCTTGTGGCTGCACGCACTGAAGTGAGGAGAGTCCCAATCCTACCTCCCCACCTAGTGGACACTTATGTTGTGTATCATCTGAAGTCTGTGTGCATATCTGTCTGAGGTGTTTTTTTTGTTTGTTTTTTTTTTTGCCTAGCAAAGCTATCCTCTCTGTTGGGGGTAACTCTGACGTGCCTTTTTCCCCCCTCTCCCTGACTCTATCCTCATATAAACCCTCTTAATCTATAACGGTAGCGCGACTGGTGTTGCGAAGGACCACAGTCACCAATTCTTGTCATGTGTCTATGTATGTATGTCTGATCTCAGAATTGTGTGTACTGAAACAATTGAATTTCCCTCTGGGATTAATAAAGTATTTTTGAATTTGAATTGAATTTAATATTTCAGCTGTAACAAGAAGCCCCATACCACCTCTAATTTTCACCATGCTTACAATTTGCCCTCAGCCAACCCTTGCATTGTTTTTCTCTTTGTCTCTTGACCACCACCACACTTATAACTTCCCTCTAATAGGCATCTTTGTCTGTTGTCACACGTCAGGACAAGACGTGAAATGTGTTGAATCAGGCCATTCCGGGCCTGGAGGAACTCCACTTGCTGCATCGTTGCACATGAAGCACAGGGAAGGGTTTAGTCAGTCTGGTTTCCTCCTACTGACAAATCATTAACTGATAACCATGGTGTCCCGGGGGAATCATTTTCGATGACTCAAGAAATAAACAGGCATTTGCAGAGAGAGATATCAGCCTCCTAAATGAAGGCAGTCCTACAGGGCCTTGATATCAACAGACTATTTTGGACCAGAGAAGGCTCAGTGATGAATTGGATTTCTTTTGTACCTAAATATGCAAGGTTCAACTTCAAACTGATGGAAGATTAGCTATCTTGCCCTGGGTTTAACTGGTCAGGAAAATAATAATAATAATTTGCACATCACAATATAATAATACTGCCACATTATTCAGAGTTACTCAAGAAAATTGCACACACTTGATTAGGTTAACCTTCTCTACTACGTTAGACTTCCTTTGGCCATAAATTCAACATTAAATCATCGATTTCTGAAATACCTAAACCAACCCATCTGACACTAACAAACATGCACTTAAAATCCCATTTCTTCTTCATTCTGACACAAAGTTTTAACTTCAACTTGTAGAGTAGTTGAAAAGCTGTGATGTTACTCGCTGATTAGAAATCTGTGTTCACACGTAATCTAATATGTGCATCTCATAAAGTGAGGTTTGTTTACATTGACACCTACATTTAATCTCCTCATTTAAAACTATTATATTGGAATTAAACTGGTAAACAAAGGCCAGTTTGTGTTCAAGAACTATGTTTATTTATGAAAAACTAAATTATTGTTGTTTATAATTAGCAAATGAAGATCAACAATGATAAAAACATCTAATCACAAAATAATAGATGTCAAATTGAATGAAAGAATAAAAGCTAAAGCCTACCAAGCATACGTGTACCTTCAAAGATCAGACAAAGGTGTGAGAATTAAACAGTGAGTGATACGATGAAATGCTGATTAGGGATAATTAAAGTGTGGTGAAGAAATATTGGGACCACTACTGAGAAAATATAAATTCAAACAAAGTAAAGAACAGAAAGATAAAAACCACACATCTGAAATAAAACTCACCAAACATGAAATCAATTATTAACACACTCAAATAAAATTATTATACCAGTTTAAACTTTTCATCTACCTAAGTGCTCTACTTCCCACAGAGAACAATGTCCACAGAAAACCAAGAGACGAGGACAAACAGGTTACAGGAGGACAGGTGATGCACCATAAATCAGTGAAACACAGCAGCAGTAAACAGGAGGTATAACACCAGCTATAGGACCACTGATAGGGCAGCAGGAGCAGCCCTTCTAAATTAACATCCAAACTACAGAGCCTCAGAATAATCTCAGATGTGTGGGTTCTTGTAATACTATTAATATTAACTCACACAGCTTTTATTAAAGATGAAATCTATTAAATCATTGTTTGCACAGATGAGCAGATTTGATTGAATATCAAAGAAAAACAAAGATCACAAATGTCCGACAAAGGAGATGAAGACAAACCCTGTTCTGAAGAGGGTCAGGCGTAAATCTGATGAAGTATGGAGTGGTCAAGGAGAAATAAGTGCCTTTTATGTTTCATTGTCTTAAAAATAAACAGTATTTTTAAAAGCACCACTTCAAAACACAAAGATTTAGACTACATGTTAATGTCTAGTCTGTCCCCTACTGCGTCTATTTTGTCTTTGTTTTTTGATGATGTGGTCCTCTGCTTTATCGGACCCTGACCTTCTAGCCTTGCTAAAGAGATTCACAGCAGTTCAAAACTAAATGAGCTGCTTTGTTTTGAGCAATTTTCAACTAACATAAATTAACTTGAGTTGTGCTTGTCCAAATCATAGGACAGTAATCTAAAGCACCAGACTTTGAACAGAGGCCTCCGAAAGGAGCGCCCCCTGCAAGCTGGCTGGGCTCAGCCGAAGAGATTGCATAAGGAGCTCATACATCCGAGAGAATTTCTGTGAGCTATTTCTCCTCCACATCTACAGTTGGTTAGGGAGTTTGGTCAGAGTGCATGTCAGGCTGCTACAAGTGGAGGTGTTTTGGGCATAAGTATGTCCTGCCAGCAGGAGTCCCCAAGGCTGACCTGAGAAATGCTGGAAGGACCATGCTCTAGGTTGGCCTTGGAGTCCCACTGGAGTAGCTGGTTATGTGGCTGGGGAGAGAACTGTGTAGGCTTCCATGCTAGGGCTGCTGGCCTTGAGACTCGGAAGTGGAAGAAAACAGGAACAATATTTTTTTTGCTCATGTCATTTTGTGTCCTTCATAGCACAAAGAACTTCTGTCCAATAAGAAACTGTAGAACTACATCAGAAGGTTCTCTTCCATTATTCAGGGCTTTTCAAAAGCCTGCATGAAACAAAAAGTCCAAACTTTAAAAAAAATCTGTTACAGCCTTTGGGTTTGGATCATTTCTGTTTTTGAGACATGTTTTTCTTGGAAACAGAGTAGGAGACATGCCTTCACAGTATATGACCATTCTGTGTTACCAGAAGTGGAAAATACAATGTTGCTCACACTGGGGTTTGGTGGTTCATTGTGTGTACATCAAGTGCATGTTCTCTTCACTTAAAAATTTACGTTTCGCCACAGAATGGCGTGGTGGAGTGTCGCAGGATCTTCTGTCCACCAGCAAACTGTTCCGAAGACACTCTGCCTGTACACGTTGATGGGACTTGCTGCAAAACTTGCAGACGTGAGTATGAGAAGCTGAAATGTAGCAAGAATTTTTACAACTGAAGTCATGAAAATTTCCAAGTATAAGGTTCAGAAATATCTTTCACACAGCGCAAATAACCTCTGGCAAAGTATTAGCAGCTTCTATGCTGCTCCAGCCTGCACAGGTGCAAGGTGGCTAAGGATGCCACTCTTGAAAGACAAACAAACAAAAAAAAAAAAAAAAAAACAAGTGTAAGGTAGTGTTTAAGTTTAGATTGTGTTCTCATTGAAGAAAAAAAATCTGCTCATTTTTACTAGTGAGCATTTAGATTCCTCGCTAAAGTTGGAAGTTTAATTAGCATTGGGCAGCGTTAGCTTACACTGGATTAGCAAGAAAAAAAGCTTATTTTTTGTGGTTTCCAAGGCAAATTTTTATTAACTTCATTGCGGCTGTTTAAATGATCCAAGTCAATGAAATAAATCGTTTTAAAAGAATTTGAATTACTTGAATAAATGAACTTAATTGTTAATTAGATTTAGCAGGGCACCAGATTGCAGCTCTGGCTTGGTCATTAGTAGCTCTTACACACAGTCATTGAGAAACTGTTTGTAAATTAACTTGGATTTTTCTTCCTTTTAAACTCATATTTTGCATCTACTCATTAAAAAAATACAGCTTGCAAAATTCTGGTTGCAAGTAAAACATTAGGGTCAGAAATTCAGGTCAAGGTCTTTATCTTTGGCAGCATGGTTCTTTTTCTCTCTGTAAGGTCTATTTTCTCTCTCATTGCCTTTGCTGATTATAAGATGTAGTTTGAATCATGTGAATTAGAATAAATGCATGTGTCTCACTGTCAATGAGTTCCACATAATGTTGATGTCTGCTCATCTTCGCTAGCATCAGTCACTCTTTAAATAAAACCATGTTCATGCAATGCTATTTTTACAAACCTTTACATCACAATCTCTTTTGCATCATGTTTTTCTTTTGTAGTTGCTTACAAACATGAATATCAAGAGCAACAGCAAAATATATCCAGAGGTAAACTGACAGCATCTTCGTAAACATTTCTGCTGCAAACTCCATGCAATGAAGATATGATATTGTAAATAGGGATGTGCATTGGTGAAATTATTGCTATATGATACGTATCACAATACAGGCAAGACAATACAATACATCATGGTATTTGTGATACATTCAGTCAGATGATAGTAGCGATTTTTTTCAGACTGAATTATGATAGGAAAATTCAGTGAACAGTCCACACTGATACTTTACATGTTTAACATGATGTAACTGAACCATAATAGAGGGATTTAAATGTCAATGGTGGAAACAAAACCCATTGCGCACTGCTGCCTACTAGCGGTCGGCATTTGAATTGCACCAAAAGAAAAGAAATAAACAAATATTTGCATGTAAATTATTTGAAAACATATACAATTAGATACAAAAATGGAATATCAATATTATATCGCTTGGATAAACATCACAATAAATTGCCATATTGATATTTTCTTATATCCCTAATTGTAAAGGTTTATATAACAAATGTTCATGAAATGTTGTGAGAATTTGAAAGCAGGAGCCATTTTAAAATGACAGTAGTCTGATTTGGACTTAAGTTCATTGCTACTGATCAGCTAAAGAGACTGACTCGACCAACTTAACACTGCCTGAATCTCTGACTGGTTCTCAGGTTGGGTGCCAAAATGACCTAAATCAGTGGAGTTTGACAGCTCAATTCACACTTAAACTTTTTTTGCCCATTTTGCTAATTTCTTTTTTAAGTGTACAAAGAATTAAAAAAACAAAACACTGAATAAAGTGCATCTTTCCAGGCTGTAAACATGCTCAACTTGAGATCTTCACACATTAGATGTCTTTTCAGACTAAACCTTTAACAAGACGTCCCGTAGAGGCAGGTAGGGTTGTTGTTGTTGTTGGTTGTGGTGGGTTGCACAGCAAAACAAGACTTAACCATCTGCAAGAGCAAAGACCACAGCTGTCTTCATGCACACTGAAACTGAAGCTTTATTTAACGTTTTGAGCACACAGAGGTCCAGTATCTGCTCACAGATGCATAGACAACTGTGTCTCTCTCACCGCGCTGCGCGGCAAAACTCCAAATCCCTAAAGTATAAAGCATCTGAATAATTTTAGGGCTCCTCCATCTCCCTGCATCCCTACGCTCATTCCTCCTTTCCTCCCTTAGTTCCCTTGTGAACATCAGAGCTGTGGCACAGATGAACGAGGGAGCAACACTCCTGAGCTGTGACAGAGCGTGCCGCGGTCCAGCACCCTGGAGAGGAGGAAAGCAGGACTTCAGATCATGCGCTTCACTTACTATTTCTGATTTATCACCAGAGGGAAATGCATAAAGGCCTTCGTCTGTTGTATTCCTAATGTGCTGTTACATCCCCACTCTGCTTTTGCACATTGGCCAAGAACAACGCTGTTTGTAGCCAAATTAACTATGCAAAACTTCACACAGCAAACTTTTTCTCCTCAGGCAATTTCACAAGCATTTGAAACTGTTTTTGAAGGTTCCAGAGGTTCTGTTATCTAAAAAATATGTATATTTCTTATTTTTGTATTTTAAAAAGTTATCCATTGTCGTTTCTTGTCCACAGCTAAATGCACCTATATGGGACAGACGTTTTCTGAGGGCCAGCGCTTTCTATCCAGAAGCTGCAGGGAATGCAAGGTATCCCATCTTGTCTTGTGCAATAATTCCTCCAGAATTCATCATCTGTTCAGCTATCATAAGCACAAGCACGTCTTTCCAAAGAAAATGTGCAATTATTGCATGTGCCGGACTGCTTGGTGTGTAATTCAATTAGCCAGCAGGCCTATTTAGTTTTCCAGCCTCCTGCAATCTGTTCAATCTGCCTTTTTTCTTGCTCTAATGGGTAGATAGCCAGGTAATTAGAATAACTTATGAACACAGCAAAACAAAGGTCTGATCTCAACTGGAACTTCATCACTGTATGAATAGTAATGGTGGTCATTATTTCTGCTCAGCACAGAATGGAGGTGAGCTTTCGTCACTGAGAAGCCATCTATCTTAAATGTTATTATTTTAAGGAGAAAGTTGTCTTCCTGCAAATGTGATTGCATATGAAGAACCACACAGGGGATTCCTGGTCTCTTTATTAGTCCTCTGGGCCCTTGGAACATAATTACTCTGTTAGGATACTTTTGTTTTCAACTGATTACATCCATCTTTACTTTTGGATGCTAATACTAATGACCAGTTGGAATATTTGAGAAGTGTTTTTGTTCGAGAACATGACAGTTGAAAAAAGCGTCGCCTCACTGTGTGATCTGCATCTTATGTGTTGTTTGTGACATGTCAGTGTTTGAAGCGTGTCTTATGGCTGCTCCAGTCACAGCAGGAGGTAATTGTAGAGCTGGCAAAGCAATAAGGAAGACAATCTCCATTGTGTAATATGAGGGGAACAGAGGGGGGGGGGGGAATAAAAGAGAAAACAGAGTATCCAAAAGCTCTGTTAAGTATTTATAGATTATGTGAATTGGATCTAATCATTTCTTCAAGCCCACTGACAATAAAGCTTAAGTTACCTAACTCATTCAGGAACATTTTTGAACTTGATAGCTTAATTTGAAGCTTCCCAATTTTGCTGGCGTGCCAAATTGCCTCTATTTTACATACAGGAAGATTGTACATGTCATCCATCCGTTCTCTTCTGCTTATCCGGGGTCGGGTCGCGGCGGCAGCAGCCTGAAGCTTGGTTTATGCTTGACGCGTTCACTTTCCACGCGGTGATGTGGCTCGCGGATGGAACGCGCTTCACAACTTGCAGCGTTTATGGTTTGTGCGGCTTGTCTCTGCGGTGAGCCAATATTCTCCCAAACTGAATGGGGCAGCATGGAGCTCTACAGCATGCATCCAACACTACACCATAGTAGAAGTAGAAATTACTGTTGTTTACAACATGGCATTTCAGCATTTTTAACAGCGTTCTCGTCTTTTCCGACAGTGCGAGTTATTTCTCTCCAAGAATTATTAACAACATGTTGATCACGGTGATCTCTGAGAGCTTAATCATACAAATGTCTGTATTTACGAACCTCTGCCATACTAGTTCTTGCCGGTCCGCCATGTTTTTCCGCGTCCGTCCGTCCGCGTGGTTAGAAATTTTTCGAGGTGCGCGTTGCGGAAATTCTGGGCCATGCGGAGGCGCGGTTGAGGGTCGTGGTTGTTAAAATGACGCAAAATGACGCAACTTTTCCGCGCGGAGCCGTGCGGACCTCGCGGACGCGTCAAGCATAAACCAACCTTAAGCAAAGAGGCCTAGACTTCTCTCTCCTCATCCACTTGGGCCAGCTCCTCCGGGGAATTCCTAAGACATTCCCTGGCCAGCTGAGAAACATAGTCCCTCCAGCGTGTCCTGGGTCTTCCTTTAGGTCTCCTCCCGTTTGGATGTGGCCGTAAAACCTCAATAGGGAGGCGTCCAGGAGGCAATGCCTGAGTTATTTATCTTGATGTTAAGATTCAATATAATATATACATAGCCATTTATGTATGGGAAAAAATGACTATGTGAATATATTTTATGTATATTAAAAACAATACATTTCTGCACCCTTGCTTCAATTTGGTTTTGATCACCAAGTTTAATAATCACAACAGAATTAAACTCCGGCCAACTAAAGGTCCATATCCTTTTTCTTCCGCTGTTACCCAGGGTTGCTTTTGGAACATTTTCAAGCTCCTCCTGGTGGATCCCCAGGTGTTGTCAGGTCAGAGAGGATATTTGATCCCTCCATCAGGTTCTGGTCTCTTTCCAATGGGACGTATTCCTGGGAAACCTTCAGAAGGTATCATGAAGTTAGTTGAATCACCTTAGCTAAAGTTATTCACCACACTAGAGCAGCAACTCTCCTATGAGCTTCCCCAGATGACAACACTCCTCACTTTACATCTGACCTTGTCTTTCCACCAGATGCAGTGCGTTCCATTTTGGAAGTGACCCAAAAGTGACGCTTATGCTCTGAGTCTATTTCTTTATGCACTAAACCTCCAGAATGCACAAAACTCTGCAGTTCAGTTTGGGCCAGACAGGAAGTCAAACACATAAGTGGTGTAAAACATCCAGAAACTTTCAAAATAAATGTCACGTACAGATTTCCAGTTGCTCAATCAAGTAGCTGAGGTAAACAGAGCAGAAAAAAACAGAACATTATGGATACAATCAATGGTGTTTATGCTTGCATTTTACCATGTGAACTGCCAAAATCACACGAGGTGTGGCAATTCTTCTGATTTTGTGACCTCGCGGGACCAGCTGCATGGAACGCTTTTGCTGCTGTTTTGCATCAGAACTGCTCCTTGTAAATACGTCTCTGCATTCAGTGGAAATGCTGAGCCCAGCCACCCTACGCTTATTTCAGGCAGCATCCAGAGCTCGTGACCATAGGTGAAGATTGGAACACCGATGGGCCTGTGAATACAGACATCAACTTGTTCCACCTGGGAATACCTCCACACCACTGAAATAGCTCCTGGTATTCTACCCACCTGCACAAAGCATAGACATTCACTGCGGCCGGGTAAAAGATGTTGTAAAAAACAGCTATTGCCCATCTGTGTGTTGGTGTTCGAACTGAATACATGCACGCCATTTGGTCCAAGACATCAAAACCACATTGTAAAACCACACTGTTTTCTTATATTTGGTGCATAGATTGTCAAGGAGACACTGCCATTTCTAAACACGGATGTGGAGAAGCCCTCTAAATTTGCCTAAATGGTCCGTGTGCCAGCGACAGTGACATGAAGAAAATGTTTATTGCGACTTTTCTCCCATTGTCCATAAAGAGCACCATCAGACTCATTGCCACGTTTTCTGCCAGCCCATCCCCCTTCTGTCAACTGGGATCCTGCCCTAATTAAGGAGACACATTGCAGACATATTTGGTCTCCAAATCTGTTGCTATCCAGAACTTAATCCCACATTTGTCCGGTTTGGATGCAACATTCTGAGTGAATGGACAACAAACCTTGGTCGGGAACAGCTGTTTGACAATAATCATGTGTTTTCCGGAAACTGTGTACGGATGCCAGTGATGGCAGCAAATCTATCTGTTTTCACATACTGCGTGTGTCCTTATCATCAAAATGAATGTGTTTTGTAATAGAAAGAAATCTATCTCATGACATTGTCTTTTTGATTACTGGCACCAGAAACTTTACTCTATTTTTAATAAATAAAAAAGTTGTGTTTGTTGAATATAAAAATTAACAGAGGAAACAAGAGGAGGAATGGAGTTCATGAATCAATGCCCTCTTCACAAGACACACTGTGCAGACAATTCAGCGTAATATTACCGCCACGGTGTCTCTTATAAATGTGCCACGCCAGCATGGTGATGTGTGAATTTTGCGGCATTCGTTCTGCCTCAATTGGTAGTAATATTGCGGTAACTGTTTGTCCTATAATCAACGATTGCACCTTGGCGCAACAGAGGGTGGTGTCATGATCACGTGGAGAGTTACTGCCGAGCTTCGGCGGGCAACTAAATAAAACATGAAAGTAACCACTGGCCGTTAGTTTTGCTTGTGTAAACAAAATCAGCTGAGACGTTAAACTGAAACAATGCAGCACTCCAAGAGCTTATTTCTGTTAGCGCTGGAGGTCAGATCACACCGGGACTGTGGGAGACAGACACCTTTAGGAGCAGCTTGTTCAAAAAACTAAATGAGTGTAGCTTCGATCGCTATAAAAAGCAAGTCATGCCCAAGTTAAACGGAAGTTTGCGGCAGCACAGAGACCGCCTCCATATCCCCTAATGTCACCATTGTGTAATATTTTGTGAAGAAGACACGATTGTGCAACATTACCACCACGGTCTGACCACTTATAAACGACCTAAAGCTCCCTGATGCCGCCACAGCATTGCAGCAAATTAACAGTAGGCGGTATTAAACAAACAGTCGATTTTATAAGTTGTGCAACAATTTAGTATTTGTGTGCTGCAATAAATGGTTTACAGAGCTAATGTGACCTAAACTTGCTGTTACTTGCTGGCCTTTTTTCACGTTCATGTAGCTCATGAAAATACGAACAACAGAACTCCTTTTGTTTTGCTTGTTGCAAGTAGCGACGTATTTCTGTCAACCAATCAGTGGACTGTGTTGTTGCTCCACCCTAACCATACCGCTCCAGAAGTTTCTGGACCTACAACAGAAGGAAGTCAAAGTACTAATAAAGTACTAACATTTATACCTAATTTAGACAAATAATAAAAGGTTTGAAAGAAAAATAAATTTTTTGGATTTGTGTTCATACCTGAGACCTTAATAGACCGTTGACCACCAAGACTCGAGAGGTACCTGGCTGCAGACCTCCACTGTCAGGCTGCTTCCGGTGGAGGCTCCACTGTCAGGACGGTCAGGAAGGGAAATGCACAGGATACATTACAAAATAAAACGGCAAACATACTTATGCTTGTAATTGATAGGTTTCAATATAAAATACTATGCAAAATCTATCAATAATTTCTCTAACATTCATATGTAGTTGTCATTTAACATACTTAAGGTTGTAATTTTTCAAAATGAATGAACGAATGGCTGGGATAGGTTTCAACATAAAATGCTAACATACGCTAACATACTTCCGGTTATCATATTTCTAAATAAAATCCCAAATGCTGTTTCGGTTGAATCACTCTCCTCATAAACGCATTCATTTTTTATCATTACGTAAAATCTATGAATTATTTCTCTATAGTTCATATATATTTGTCATTTATTTAGTAAACCTTAGTTTTGTTAGTCATTTTTGTTGTGTGTTTTCCTTTACTGTTGCACAATGTGGTCATTATGATATATTCTGTCATTATCTAAGATGTAATATTAAAAAAAAGAATGCGTTTATGAGGAGAGCGATTCAACCGAAACAGCATTTGGGATTTTATTTAGAAATATGATGACCGGAAGTATGTTAGCGTATGTTAGCTTTTTATGTTGAAACCTACCCCGGCCATTCGTTAATTAATTCTGAAAAATTACAACCGTAAGTATGTTAAATGACAGCTACATATGCACTATAGAGAAATAATTGATAGATTTTACGTAATATTTTATATTGAAACCTATCAATTACAAGCGTAAGTATGTTTGCCATTTTCCGTAAGTACGTTTGCCGTTTTATGTATCCCGTACATTTCCCGTCCTGACAATGGCGGTCGTCCTGACAGTGGAGCCTCCACCAGAAGCAGCCTGACAGTGGAGGTCTGCAGCCAGGTGCTCTTGCAAGACTCTGGTAAACCACACACACCTTTGCAGCCCACCCAAGGGAAGGCTTTATCTACCTTTGTGATCTTTCTTTGGGTCTGCCTGCGCTTTGATTGTTATCAGTATTCAGGCCCTCTTTAATTGTGTGCAGCTCCTCTGTTCTCATGTAAACCTCATTCTGTCACCAGATTCTTAAAATATCTCACTTTTGTAAGATTCTTTCATTTCTTTATTAATTCTTCAATATTTAATGTGATTAGGTCAAACAGTGCAACACTAGTCCTGAATATGTTGGAGAGCTTTCAAAGAAACAAATAATTTGTCTTTTCAAATTTTATTTTGTGAGTGTAATTTGAAAGGAAAATGACACGATTAACTACTGAAGAGATCATTCCATAAAGTGGTTTGAAATGAGCATTTGGACAAAGTATGTCAGAATTGTGTTCATTATTCTGTAAATAACTAAAGTGTGTCACGGTCTTTCCCTGCCTCCCTGACTGTGTCTCTCTCCTGCCCTTGATTAGTCCTTATTGTTTTCACCTGCCCCTTGTTTACCTGCCCATGTGTTCCTCATTTGCCCTGTGTATTTATACCTCCCTCCTTGTATCAGTCTTTGTCGGATCATTGTGGTTGTTTGTCATCGTTGTCTTGTGCTGTCCGTTCCCGTCCCACCATTAAAACCATTTTACTTTATCTGAAGCCTGCATCTTTACCTCCTGATCTGTTCCACCACACATGGTCCATCAACTCCTACACCCGCAATGTGACAAAGTGGAGCTTTATAAACTTACAGATAGAGCTGAATCAAAAGATAAAGATGTCTATTTACCAGTTAATCTAAATTATGACCTTCACTGAAGGTCATGAGCTCTGGGTAATGACCAAAAACATAAACAAAAATAAGCATCTTCTATGGGTGCCCTGACTCACTGTCAGACGCAGTTATTCATGAGGAGATTAGAGTTGTCACTCCTTCCCATCACAAGGAGAACATTGAAGGGGTTTGGGGATCTGATTATAAAGTCTTCTCAATGCCTTTTATGGTTTGTTTTTATATTGAGATGAGAGGTCGCCTTGGAGCAGATTTGGGATTATCTGGATTATTTCTCACAAATGGTCTGGGAACAGTTTTGAGTCCCACTGGAAGACCTGGAGGAGGTGGTTGTTGGACACAGGGAGGTCTGGGATGTCCGCTTGCTGTTGAACCCTGGATTAGCAGAAGATGAATGAATGAATGAAGCACAAGATTTCAGTTAGATCATAACACACTTTTGCTGTTATTGTATTACTCAGTATTTTTCTTGACACTTAAAATCACCTCCTCCCTTACTTTTTACGTTGATGAATGATTACTTTTCAGATGAATTACATGATTCTTCCAGTTAAAGTACTGAAAGTGTTTTGTGTCATTTCCATCTCTTTATAGATGATCTAGCTGTCATTTTTATGGTGAATGGTGTATTTGTTGTACTCAATGGACTTTGACACATTTGACCTGCATTTTCTAAACATGTCTTACTTGTCTTTGTCCTCACAGAATGGCCTGATGGTGAAAGTAACAGAAAAATGTCCAGAGATAAACTGCAGTCTCACTGAGCAGATCTTACCAGAGGGCAGATGCTGCAACGTTTGCAGAGGTATGTCTTCCTCTTTTTACACTCATCCTAGAGCCCACAAATCACCCTCTTCCTTGGATTTGTGTTTGCCAACATTTCTCCACGATGAGCTGTAAACACAGCCCGCTCTTCCCAACACTGATTGGCCTAGGCTTCTGCAATATATATATATATATTTTTTTTTACTTTACCATGAATGTTTGTTGGCTGAGATACCCATCAGAGCAGATTGGTCTGTCTTCCATTGAGCACTTGGTATGCCAATTTGCCTGAACCCTGCTGCTTTGGCAGGGAAGTGCTACAGGATAAATGGTCACCAGTCATACAGTAAATACACTGAATAAACAAACTCTACGAGGCTGGCAGTTATAGAGCCATTAAAGGAAAAAAATCCCAGGGCTGATTCTGCCAGGAGAAAATTGTGCTCTGATTCAGGTGAGATGGGCTTTAGACTCACCATACTTAGAGAAAAGAAAGAATAAAAGTATGCAAAAGAGATGGTGGATAAAACATCATTTTACAGGAAAGGGACTATAAGATCTTGATGAAAGTTGAAAAAAGAAGGAAGTACAGGGAGAAAGCGAAGGTAAAAATGCATATGATGAGAGGAGGTTGCCAGGGAATATAGATGAGACAAACAACATGTACGGAAATGCTTAAGAGATGAAAGCAGAGCATTTTCAGAATGCAAGGAATATGGGAGAGAAAGCATTTGGGGATTTTAAAAAGATGGCAGAGAGTAAGAACAAAACTAGTTTGTACAGTAAGAGCTTGCAATTAAAGATGAAACTCCCAGCTCATCTTCTCTTTTATTCCCTCCTTTGCTCATTCCAACAGAGCTGGTTATTACTTTAAAGTCATGTTCAGATCCCATTTTTGCTTTCTGACTCATTACTTTACCACCTCTCTGAAATTTATTTGTACCTTGCTGGCAAACTATCATAGTCACACAGGCTCTGACAAATAGGTAATTCCATATTTGCCACAGAGCTCGGGGTTTTATTTGAATAAAAAACAATTCTTTGTAACCTTGAGGGAAGGTGGCGTCTGGGTACTGCAAACCCAAATCCCTCTGTGACATACACAACTTTACTGTAGTAGACCTACTTTAATGCAAGCGCACACTTGCATAATGGGTCCGTTAGCATTTACGTTCCTTTGTCGGATGCTGCTTTAGATTGCTTAGGGGAAGAATAATGCAGAGAAAGCTCTTTCTTCAGTAATGGCTCCTCAGGCGCCCTGCCTCTCAGGGCTTTTATGTGCAGCCTGTCTGTCACTCATTACAGAACGCAATGAGCTATTCCTACAGAGCAGGACACAATCATCCCCGTGACTGTCTGTTACTCTCCTTATCCGTCAGACTAATTCTCAAACCATCTATCTTTGACATCACATCGTTATGCATGTGCAGGCACTCAGTCTACCAAGATTCAGCTCTGGTAGTGGAACATATATAGATTTACCATAACATTATGACCACCGTCATATTGAGTGATCCTCAAGGAACACCAAAACCACTTTTTATTTTAAATCAACTCTTGTTAAAAGTAGACAAAAAACATTTGAATATGTAATCTTGTAATGGAATTTCAGAAAATGAACCTTTGGTTTGTTAGGTTGTGTTACTTTGGATTGGATCAAATCATGTCAAATGGTGTCCAGCTACCCCTGAGGCCATGTGAACGCCTTCGTATGATTCACTTGAACCCATGCTAAGCTGTTTTTGTTGGGTTCAGTATGGTGCTTTTGAGGGAGGGTCTGCTATGATTGGTGAGAGTCACTTCTATATGTTCATTCTGTGTAATCCTTCCATTGTTTTAATTCTTTTTTAACCATAGCGTAGTAGAAGATTTGTTTTTACTTTTATTGCTGACAAGTTCCGGCTAACACTGTAGCCTTCCGTAGAACACTGCCAATGTTGGTGGCTTACTTCAGTGCACTCCGTACTTATACACTGATTCATTGCAACTCAGTAGAAAAATTACATTAGCAAACATTGTCCAAAACAACCAGCAGAAGTAAAATTTGAAGTTTGTGAAGCAGGGAAGCTAAAGAAAATGAGCACTGATCACTGCTGCTTTAAATTAGCTTTTACCAAGTTTCCAACATCGGAAAACACGGCAGAATCCCCCCACATAGTCGTTACTAAACACCCCAACACACAGCAGAAAGAAGTAGCGTTGCCGATACTAAACACCCAACACCAAAAAAAAAAAAAAAAACACAGCAGAATTCCACTACATCGCCGTTACTAAACATCCGACACCAAAAAACATGGCAGAATTCCACCACATCGCCATTACTACACACCCAATACCAAAAAACACGGTAAAATTCCACTACATAACCGTTAATAAACACCCAACACCAAAAAAATAAATAAATAAATAAACACGGCAGAATTCCACCACATCGCCGTTACTACACACCCAACACCAAAAAACACGGCGGAATTCCACTACATCACCGTTACTAAACACACGACACCAAAAAACATGGAGGATTTCCACCACATCGTCGTTACTAAACATCCGACACCAAAAAACACGGCAGAATTCCACCACATCACCATTACTACACACCCAATACCAAAAAACACGGCAGAATTCCACCACATCGCCATTACTACACACCCAATACCAAAAAACACGGTAGAATTCCACTACATAACCGTTAATAAACACCCAACACCAAAAAAAAAAAAAAAAAAAAACACGGCAGAATTCCACCACATCGCCGTTACTACACACCCAACACCAAAAAACACGGCGGAATTCCACTACATCACCGTTACTAAACACACAACACCAAAAAACACAAACACCCGACACCAAAAAACATGGAGGATTTCCACCACATCGTCGTTACTAAACATCCGTCACCAACAAACATGGCAGAATTCCCCACATCACTGTTACTAAATACCCAACACCAAAAAACATGGCAGAATTCCACAATATCACCGTTACTAAACACCTGACACCCAAAAACACAGCAGAAAGAAGTAACATTGCCATTACTATACACCCAACACCAAAAAACATAGTAGAATTCTCCCACAATGGCTTAAATCACAGGGCTTTGTTGTCTCATGGAGTGCAGTAAAAAAAAACTACAAAAATAAGCATCTTCTGGTTATTGAACACCACATTGTACATAACACAGCTGCTTTCATGCTCCAAATGGATTTAATTAGGCTGTACTTTTACCTTTAAATCCTATCAATGTTACTGCGGATGCTTTTTGGTGCAGATCAGTGACATGACTCACTGCTGAAGCAGTCACAACCTGCTGGTGTCTGCGTAAAGTCCTGAGAGAGCTGCATTTACAGTTACCCTGAAGTTCCGACAGTGGAAACATGACTGGTAAGATGTAATAGCAGTGAGAATGTGGTGCAAATGTTCTTCTTACAATCTAGCAGTAATAGTTTAATTATGTTGTCTTTCTTCAACATGTCCTCCTTTCTATTGCAGTTTTGTAGTTAATCCCTCAAATATTTTGCTCAAAAATCTAGCATCATGACAGCGAGGCCCTAAAACCCAAAAGAGGACACTGACAACATTTTTTGAAAAATGTTGGAAACTCTGGCAACTATCAGTCACAAGATGTTGCCAACAGTCCTAGTGTCATGAGATGAGAGCGCCATGGTCTGCGGGATTTATTCTTTTGGAGATGTTGGTGTTCATTGATAGAGCTTGGTGTTTGCCTGCCGCCACTATTATTTAAATATTTTTTCTGTCTCAACTACTTCTAATTTATACTTAAAGTTTAAATTACCTGCTTCTTCAGCACACTTTGTCGTCTTTAAGTAAATGTTTATTTTTGTTGACATCATTGTTTTGATTTCTGAATTTAGTGAAATCTACAATCATCTTTTGAATTCAACACAGCAGGATCGGGAAATGAACTGTCATGAACAAAACAATAGCATCCTAAAGAGTTGTGTTGCTTGGCGTTTTTGTATGTTTTTTCTTCCTGTGACTGCTATATTTGAATAATTGCACTAAGTTTGGGATAAGCCTAAAGATCAGACCAGATTCCTACCCCTCCCTGCCACTCACAGTCAACAGCAAAATCATGGTTGTTTCTGTTTCACAGTGATGCGTGTGTCTTTTCAGCAAGCAAATTTGATGGATTCCCCTGTTTCTCTCTTTCAGGTTACGACTTCTGCGCAGAGGGACTCATTTGTGGAGAAAACTCAGAGTGTAAAAACAGGAATACTAAAGCAGAGTGTGAATGCAAGAGTGGCTATGCCTCCATCCACGGGGACTCCACTTACTGTGAAGGTACAACTTTATTTTACTCTGCTCAGGTTTCGTGGGGGCTCGTGTGGCTGACAATATATAATCACTCAGGATGCAAAGAAGCTGCATGGGTAGAAGTGGGTGGATGGGTTTATTGTTTGCTTTAAAGAGGTATTTTATGGGGGTCATGAGACCCAGAGGGAGATTTGTGAATATGACACAATAATGACTGATGGTGAAGAGAATGACGGTTGCACATGTGTGATCCTGAAGTTGTATGTTTTGAGCAAAAACATGTATTGAATGGCTTGTTTAATGAAAACATAACTGCTGTTTATGGGCTATGTATGTTCTGTTGAAAAGGAGTTTTTGCTTAAGGAGGTTTTCATTGTCTAATCTACCCGTTACTACAACCAGTGTTTTCTCAAGGACATGTTAGCCATTGGTTTTCCATTTATCACTCAGTCGAACAATACCAATGAGCTGGGATTTCTATTATTAGCATGCTTTTTGTGTTGTGTGAACTGGCTTTGGTTGACTTTCTGCAGCATGAAACACAATTTGCATTGTATCCAGTGTGTTTTAGGACAGAAACTTTATCAAAAGTTAAAATATCTTGTATTAATCCAGATAAACTTTGCTTTGAGATGTTGGACTTTCTTTGAGAGGGGGGGGGGGGGTGTTCTGGTTCTGCCCACCTTTATCAGTGGCCTAGTGGTATGAGTGTCTGTGCTGGGACTGGGAGATCGGAAACAAATCTAGTCGGGTTGTAACATTTTTTTTTTAAATGGAACCCGATGCCTCACCGTTTGACACACAGCTTTAAGAGTTAAACCACCAAATGTTTTCTGAGTGCAGCCACAGCTGCCGCTCACCGCTCCCTCATGGGGATGGGTCAAACGCAGAGATGAAGTTTCACCAGCGTGTGACTTTATCTTAAACATAAAATCTGTGTTTTGAAACTGAATTATGTAGATTTTCACTGATTCTGTTTTGAAAAGGTCAATGATCAGTGATTGTCCTGTGGGTGTATTGTTGGCTGAGCAAAAGCTCAAGTGTTTTGGTGCTGGAGGCCCAGATTAGAGCAGATCAAGTCAATGGCTTTATTTGATTAAAAATCTTGGAAACATCTCAGTGTGGATTGGAGGATTTGCTCTGTGCTTGGTTTCAGTTGTCTTTGGATCGTAGCCACAGCAATCTAAATCCACCAAGTGTTCTGGTAGCCATGAGCCCCGCAGCATGTCTGCATCTGTTTGAACTGCATTTGAGGTTTACCCAGAGCTCTTTTCCAAACCACATCTGTCCCTTACCATACGAGCAGTAGCTGGGCGGCTGCGATTGTTAGATCAACAATGTAATTCATAAATCCGTGGCTGCCTTAGCTACAACAGTGTTAGCAATGTGGACCCTAAAGCCAGCTCAAACCCATATTGTAACTGGATTTGTTGGATGTCACTGTTGGTATTTGACTTATCGTCAGTCTCACGCCCAACTCACAACAGCTGAGGATACAACCTACAACACATGAAGTGTTTTTCTGGTGTAACTTTGGTTTTAAATGGCCAGCAGGCTGTTGCGGCATGATTTGAATCATCTTTTAAATTTTATTAACTGAAGATCTAGCTGTGCTCAAGCTGTTATGTCCATATGCATCCTAATGTTTTAATGTGTATCTGATGACTTTATGGAGTAGTAATGAGACAATTATTAGAAAAAAAAGTTAGAGATCCAAATTATAGTGTGATAATTGGTTTTTGTTACCTTATGATACATAATTGATATGTCCCTCTGTCTTTAAAGGGGCATTATGGAAGTTTGACAGCCAAAACATGTATAGAAATAATACATTTCTTCTTCATACATTATCCTGCAATGCCCTGGTCCTGTGGAATGAGCCCTGGCATTTTTACTGTGATTGTCTGTTTTTCTGTAAAATCACAGAAAAAGAGAGATGCTCGGGTCGAGCAGGCTGCTTCATGCACGTTCACGCTCAGGCATAGCCCGTAGCATTTGCTGTCAGTAGCTTTAGCAGCAGAGAGTGAGCTAGTGCAAACTCAGCGACTTTGTCGCTGTTCCTAACACCTAGTGACGAACCTAGCTACATTTCTGAGGATCCTTAGCTACTTTCTTCTAGATATTTCCTGCAAATTAGCAACAAAATAGCCATTTTCACTCCGAACCGTTCTTTGAACGTTTTTTCAGGTGTCATCAAGAATATAAATGTTACAGACACAAAATACATTACTGGTGCTGTAGCTCACCTAGTTAAACGTTGGACTCTCATGCAGAAGATCTGGGTTTGATTCTGTATGTGAACATAATTTATTTAGAATTCATTTTTTACATTACTTTTCTTACAGTAAGATGCCCAAATTTTTATTTGAGACTTGCCGAACGGCATTGAATTCACAGATAAAAAAGATGTGGGTTCAACTTTCATTTTGGAACAATTTTTCAAGCAAGGGAAGGGAAGCTCTGTGAAGCTGATGGACTGACCCATCTTAAACCTTTGTCGGCTGTGCTGAAGAGAAAGTACAGAACCAAATTATTTAATTTGCTGCATGTTCTCCTGTCCTCTGTCCTCCAGGCCACACACACACACACACACACACACACACACACACACACACACACACACACACACACACACACACACACACACACACACACACACACACACACACACATACACGGGGGACTATCTCAGCTGTTATGTTCGTTAAGGAGTGTGCACGTACAGCATGCGCACCTCGTGCACGAGCCTACCATTGAAGCTGCCGTTACACTTTTGACCTGAGGGAGCAATCGCGAGCATAAAAATTAAAAACTCTGTAACGTCCCTTTAAGTGGTAAACACAATATTTCATACAGGCAACACAGTGGTGTGGTGCATTAATAAGATGTTGTTTTTTAAAATGTATTTTGACTTTCCATTTAGATTCCTAAAACATGTGCATTTGACCAGTTAGCAATCTTGATTTGAACCTTGAGGAAAGTTAGGATGTATGGTTGTGTGTTTTTATGTTGGCCCTTTGAAGAAAGGGAGACCTGTTACTGTTCAGTTAAGCTCTAGCTCCCCGAGCCTTAGGAAGATGACAAATATATATATATTTTATTTATTTATTTATAAATAAATATATATATATATATATATATATATATATTTATAAATATATCGTAAATGTCAGTGTATATAAATGCATTTATACTTCTGAGATGATTACCATTATTGTCACATGACTACACAATTAGATACACAAACAGAAACAAGGTTGAAATATATCAGTTTTACATATCGGACCGATACCGATATGTTTAAAAAATGGTTAACATCGGCTGATACCACTACTGACGCTGATATATCAGGACTGGGCAATGAATCAAAAATGTATCTCTTATCAAAATTTCTGACTCTTATCGAGATAATTTTTCCCATGTGAATAAATTTGATAATAAAAATGAAAAGATGTGTGTAGGTTGGCAACATTCATGTCCCTTTAAAAAGCTGCACCACCTTGAGTCAGGTCAAAATTTGACTCAACGTAATACATGTCACAGCCCCATCTAGTGGACAGCTTTGTTTCTGCGCATACCTGTAGTTATTTATTTATCGTTATCGAGGAGAAATCCTCAATATATCGTGATATTGATTTTAGGCCATATTGCCCAGCCCTACTTTATATTGTACATTCCTAATATTTTTATTATTTAGCGTGATATAAGTCAACTGGAGAAATATTTGCTGTTTAATAATTTCCTTGAGTCATTTTGTGTGTGTGTGATGAATTTTTGACTTCCATCCATCCATTTATATCCACCTTTCTGGAGTCGGATCGTGGGGGCAGCAGCCTAAGCATAGAGGCCCAGACTTCCCTCTCCCCAGCCACTTGGGCCAGCTCCTCCGGGGGAATCCCAAGGCATTCCATGGCCAGCTGAGAGACAGGAGCCCAATCTCAATACTTGCACTGTGCTCTGCGGACTTCAGCAAAGCGCTCTTGGAGAAAGTGTACTGTAAGTCTTTGAGTGCGTAGTACACAAGTATGCCGATAATTGCAGAATTGAGACAGGGAGCATCAGTCGCAACACATGCCAGGATGCTGGTCACTGTGATACCTTTTCAAAAACCTTTATTAACTTTCAAACAAACAGCCAAACAGTTATTTGAAATAAATTTATATTTTGTGCTGCTTTATCTAAAAGTTTCAGAGCATCAATGAATCTTCCTAAAATTAACTAATTTCCTTAGAAAATACATATAATCAGAAAAGGAACTTGTGCCATTTCTCCTGCAGCAATAAATCATGGGTAATGTCCTTCACCCAAGTCCGCATCGCTGCGTAATTGGGTGCGGATCGAGGATGCAAAAGGGGCATGATCAACTTCCGCTCTTGAGAATCAGGACACCCTACGCACTTGCACCCCTAGTTGAGATAGCATAATTGAAGTGTGCAAGGGTGGAAGTGCGAGTATTGAGATTGGGCCATAGTCCCCCCCATTGTGTCCTGGGTTTCCCTGTAGGTATTGGCTGCATGGTGGCGCAGTTGTTAGCACTGTTGCCTCGCAGCACGAAGGTCGCAGGTTCGAAACTCGGCTGCGGCCTTTCTGCGTGGAGTTGCGTGTTCTCCCCATGCATGCGTGGGTTTCCTCCGGGTACTCTGGTTTCCCCCACAGATCACAACATGCCCTATAGGTTATACATTGTAAGTTGCTTTGGATAAAAGCATCTGCCAAATAAATAAACATAAACATAAGGTATCCTCCTGGTTGGACATGCCCAGAAAACCTCACCAGGGAGGCATCCTAACTAGATGCCCGAGCCACCTCACCTCTTGATGTGGAGGAGCAGCAGATCTACTCTTAGCTCCTAACGGATGATCGAGCTTCTCACTTTATCTCTAAGGGAGAGCCTCGACACCCTGAGGAGAAAACTCATTTTGGCCGCTTTCATCCACAATCTCATTCTTTTGGTCACTACCCAAAGCGCGTGACCATAGGTGAGGGTTGGAACATATCAACGCATTTTTGTCTTGGATATACATATT